CCCAAAAAAAAAATTCCATGAATGTTTCTCAATTTCATATGTTCATTAGCAGTTCCTTAGTTATTCTTTGAAGATTAAATTATGCATAAGCCTCAGCTTTGTTGATAAGTTTAGCCTATTTTAAATATTGTTTGATTTACAGTCGAAGGCAATCTGGGAATGGATTTGCATCTGTTAGTGTAGAAACGTCAATGTTGAAGTGTATCAAGCCAAGTTCTGCATTCATGATCTCCATCTCTATTGTTTTTATGACAACATGTATCTTTACCTTGGTGAGAAAACTTGGTTACTGTACATCACTGCAACCGAAACGACGGAAAAAATGATGTCATCATCCTTGTAAAACTATACTATACTACACAAGAACATCATTAAAGGCTGTACGGCTCCGTCTTTTGTTGGAGGAAAATTTATGTGATTGAGAGATACACTAAACCCACTACACCACTACCACCTCCACTTCACCTACTCCACCTACCACCTCCACTTTACCTACTCCATCTACCACCTACTACCACCTACTCTTCTATATATAGGAATCATTGTAGCATTCAATAATTCAACAATTACAAATATCAATCAATAATACAATTCTCTTTTTCTCTTTATACATTAAATTTCTACAGATCTCATTCAAATGTTTAGTTTGACCTTTTTATACATAGGAATGTGAGATTACTCTGGGAGGAAATGGGGGTTTCAGATTCCCCCTTACTTTAGGAAACTAATTCCACCTGGAATGGTAAATCAAGAACCACATTCCCATTCAAACCACATCCAAACGGTGGAATCATAAAACTCATAATCACATTCCCATTATCCCTCAAGATTACTGCCAGTCAAACATAGCCTAAATTAATATGTTTCTGGTGCAGTTTGGTCAACTAAGACCTAGCTGATCTGTGATAAAAGTGAAGCTGTGGAAATAAAGTATTCTGACTGCTTTGAGAAAGGCTGATGTCTGCTATGTTTTTAGCGTTGCTTAGACGGATAACTTAAGCCTTGTCCTTTAAAGGAAAGGGGGATTGCTCGCACAATGAACTAGTAGAAAATAACAAAATTCACTATCCTTTGTGCTTCATCACCAATTGAATACTTGTACAACAAATGATACTCTAAACAAAGGCATTATCACCAAGAAGTAGATATTACTTGATCTACAAGAAATTTAAAATTGAACCATTCTAAAAGGTCTCCTGAATAAATTTCCTACTAAGATAGACCTTTAACCCTACCATGAGTTCTACAAAATATAGTTGATTGCTAGGTTGCAATGAGCTGGGCGTAGACTTGGGCTCTGTGGTTGCTTGGGCTTATTAAAATCAACGAAACAGATCTGTTGAATTGTACCAGAGTGGGCCTAAACTTGATGCTTGCCTGCCGTTATGTCCTCTTTAGTTCCTTTTCAATAACTCTTAGTGGCTGTTCTTCTGTTTATTTTTGCTGGATTGCTAAAGTTGCTTGACATTAGATAAGCCCATTTCTTGTTCTCACTCTTTTATTCATTTTAAGTCTGTTGCAGTTCTTCCTTGTGTTATTATTTTAGGACAATTATTTTACAAATCGTTCAATTATGTTTATAACCAGTTTTCATTGCTCATAATATAACAATAGTTTTCATGGTGAATACTTTTAATAAATTTGCAGCTAACTTTTACTGGTTTCATCTATGATATGAAATTAGTAAAATTTATATTACTTCGGTAAATAATTTTATTTGTCAAAATATATTGCCTGTAAAATTTCCATTGTGAATGTAGTGATCTAAAATGGTGCATATTACTTTCCTGTCTGAAGTCTCAAAATGACTAATGTGTATATATATATTTGCATGATTTCCGTCTGATGTTTTTTTTCAAGCTTATATATATATTTCGTTTCCTTAGGTCATCAATGACTTGCTTGATCCCACGGGCCAGAATCTACGAATACGAGAGGATGTTCAGGTTTGTTTTTTGATGCTCATGATTGCAGATTTCACTTTTATCTACCTTCCGTCACATTTAAAGCAAATGTTAGTTTGTTTTAGGAATACATTTTTTCGTCAATTTGTTCCACCCTTCTGTTTTATTCTTTTCTCAGGAGACAAGTATTAAAAATTTTCAGAATTGCTGTAAGAGTTTGTGATGCTATCTTGTGTTGCTTTGCTGAGTTGTTGGCCGGAGCTTAAAGTTTTGTTTCCTCAATGCCTATGTAGTTGTTCATATTCGGAGGATGTTATCTTTGTCAACTTTCAAGTTTATGGTGGACTTAAACCTTATGAATTTGTAAAGTTATTTCATCGAATTATGAGAATCAATATCAAGGAGATGAGATTTCTAGAAATTGCTACTGGCAAAGTAGCGTAGAGAATTCTACTTTTGACTGATGTTGGGTGAATATGGAAGAATTTTTTGATCCACAAAAGAAAACAAAAGAAAAATTCAAGAAGCATAATAAAGTTTAGAGTGAAGATCAATGAAGTGCCCATGTGAAGGACAAACTAAAAGATGCTCATTCGAAGCATTATTTAAGCATTATTCACCTTTAGTTTGCAAATTTATGGTGTTGTTCCCTGTTGTTGTTTTATTTTTAAGTTAATCCACCCAGTGTTTTAAGGGTAAACTACCAATAGGTCCTAATAGTTGGACTTAATTCCCATAAAGTCTTATTGAAAACAAGTCCTAGTAAAATTGTCGTTAAAAATAATTTTTTGTGACGATTTTTTACACATGTCGCTAAAAATTAATAATTAGTGACTTTTTTTTGTCAACGATTTTTATAAATTGTCGCTAAAACTTACAATTAGTGACTTTTTTTGTGACAAATTTTTCAAATTGTCACTGAAAGTTAAAAATTAGTGATTTTTTTAAACTGTCGCTAAAACTTATAATTGGTGACATTTTTTTGTGTCAATTTTCAAACTATTGCTGAAAATTAACAATTAGTGACGTTTTTTAATAGTGTTTGATAAAAAATGCTACTAATTATCATAGGACCTATTAGACAATAAGTCTACTTATTAGAACCTACACGTAAGTCTCCCGTGTTTTAAAAGGCTCTAGGCACATTGTGGCGATAAAGTCTCCTATAGCCTAGGCGCTTGCCTCGCACCTCACCAAAGCGAAACGCAAGTAGTAGATGTGAGAATAGAACATATTGTATATATGTCACGCACGACATGATTGTGTATATTAGGCATTAGGCATTAGGAAAGATTGCGGTGCATTTGTATTTCCTTTTTCAGTCATAGATTTAGGGCTATAGAAACTGATGTAAACATATACAAGTACACAAAAATCTTACAGTAGAAGGAAAGCAAAATTATAAAATAGGAAAAATTTTCAACATAACAAATGTGTATAGAATTTCAAAAATCATAACTATTTCCGATATTCTTTAAACATAACATTCAATCTTCTAAAAACTAAATATATAATATCCAACAAAAGATATAAATCATAACATTCAATCTTTTATCACATTCTGCTCTTTTTTGACAGTTTTGAATCTAGGTAGGTATGCCCACAAAAAAAGCACGTAACAGTTGGAGTAGAAAAATAGGTAAATCCCATGAAATTCATGCCTTGTGCCTCGAAAAAAGCCCTCGCCTCAGCGCCTAAGTTGTGCCTTGCATATTGTGCCTAGCCTTGACCTGTTCGAAGCGCAAGGCTGTGCCTCATTGCGCCTTTTAAAATCCACCTTAATTAAGTGCTTCAGAATATATTTCATTCAGAAATCTTCTGGCAATCCTATATCAACTTTGTTCTTGTTTTTGTCTCATTGAAAGAACATGTTGCCGGTGGCTCTTGTTCTTTTCTTTAGCTTAAAGCATGTACTTCTATTCCAGTTCAAGATCTTTTCCTTGACTTTATCTTCAGCCAAGGATATATGTTATTGATCCCATACAAATAAATATACCTCCCTTTTAAGACAACCTTCATGAAGGAAAAAAACCCCTAGAATTGCCAAGTTATTGAATTCTTGTTTAAGTATGTGGAATGTAATGCTGGTATTGGCAGGGAACTTATGTAGAAGGAATCAAAGAGGAAGTTGTTTTGTCTCCTGCTCATGCTCTTTCTTTGATAGCATCTGGTGAAGGTATAAGGACTTGTACTATGCTGTTCTCTCTTTGAAGAAATTTTTTAGGAAAACTTATTTTACATTAAGCAACCATTCTTGTCTTATGTGTTTGTTCCCCCATTATGTTTTAATGTTAACTTTGTTCCGTGTGTGTTTGCATACCTCATTCAATTTGGTTTGTATGTTACGACCTGTTTGATAACACAACTAAGCACTTTTAAACAGTACACACTTAAATCAAGTGCATTTGATAACAAGTAAGTGCCACCGCTTAAGAGAATAAGTGTTTTTTTTGAAGAGGTTCAACTTCTAGGTCAAATGAAGTTAACCTGTCATTGAACACTAAACATGACCAGTGAAGGAAGATTTAAAATCTTATCCAAACTATAGAATTGTCCCTTTGACCACCCCTCCACCCCTGACCCAGGGATTTCACGAATATATGTCATATAAACATATATCCTTAAAAAAGAATGAAACTACAAAAGTAAGGATAGAATTGTGAAGTTATGTTTCTAAGGCTTCAGTTTTAAGTGCTTATCAAACAATAAATTGAATTTAGGCCTAGTTTGGGAAGACTAAATAAGTGTATTTTTTGACTTTTTATGAAATATGGGTTGGGTTTGGGTTGGGTTTGAAGTGATGTGTTAGAGAGGTGATGTGACTTAAATAAGATGATATGACTTAAATAGGATAGTGACTTTTTGACTTTTTGTCTTTTTTCAAGCATGCCAAACTTGGCCTTAGTACTTCAAGTTCAAATAGTACCAAGCTAAGAAGCACGGACATAGATATGGATGCGGACACGGGACACGGCGATTTCAAAAAAATGGGGACCTAGACATGGACACGGTGGCGACATGGAAATAAAATATGTTTTCATATATTTTTATGTGCTATCTCGATTAATATTACATCTAAAAACAATCAATATTAACAAAAACTAACTCTAGTTCTATCTTTTTATTTTATTTTAAAAGCACTTTTAAATTAACACTTATAGTTTATATATTTTTTTATGGATGATCTATTAAGTATTTAAATCTAAGAAAAAAATAATAAACATTCATCAAAAGCGCTAAATAAAATGGGGGAAAAGACAACTTGATATGTCCCTAGTGTGTTCCCAAAGTGTCCCCGGCGTGTCTGCTGAAAATAAATTAATTAAGGGGACACACCATGTGGTGTGTCCCATACATGTCCCCAAAGTGTCCTTGTCCGACACAGATACGACACTTGTTTTGAAGTGTTGGTGCTTAATAGGTACCAAGTGATTTTTCAATTTTATCAAACAGGCTCTTAGTTTGTCTGTCCACATGCAAGAGTGGTTGCATGTGAGGGGAGTGTGTTAGAGCTTGGTATACATTGTTCAGTCTATTTTCTAATAGCTTAAGCTTTTGAGGCATTTGGGCACCTAACAATATGCATATTCCCGCCCTTGTTATTTGTTTGGATTCAATTGTGATTATTTCCTGAGATTGATGCTTGTTTTTGGTTTCCTTCTGGTTCTTCACCCAATGCTCTGTATATTTGTCCGTTGTTCATTGCTTACCATTTAACATGTCATTTCTCTCTTGTTGCAGAGCATAGGCATGTTGGTTCTAATAATTTTAATTTACTTAGCAGTCGGAGCCATACTATATTCACCTTGGTAACTATTTCTGTTTCCTTGGGATTAAGTTTCAAATACGTCTTACTCTGTGTTAAATTATTTCTGTTTTCAAACAATATAGTTTCAAACATGTCTTAGATACTAGCATAATTCTTTGTTTTCTGTCCTGTATCTCGTAGTTATTTATCAGTGAAATTCCTGTGTTGCAAACTTGTTTCCCCTCTAAACTTAATTAGTTTGCATCAAATATCAGGCATATCTTTTGTGATGTCAGGCATTGAAGAATTCAGTAAGATGTAGGCCCAATGATCATTGTAACTGTCTCGAGCTTTATGAGTTGGGGGTTTTGGTTATAGAGTTCAGCGAACAGTTTGAGTTGAATTTTTGTCTGTGAATGAAGTCCTTTAACAGTATTGAGAGATCAAAGGGGGGAGGAATGTAGTCCCAAATTGAATCTCAGGAAAATTGTTTTATGTAATTATGTTTTCACTGGAAGGCAAGTGGAAAAGAATCACGTACATTGCAGCAGTAAAAGATATACTAATTTAAGAAGTTGAACATTTGACTGTTGATCTTGGCTGATCTTGAAGGAAATCTGAGCTTGTGTGGATTTTGTGAATTACAAGGGACATAAAACTGGCCACTTGAGGTTCCTGAGCCAGCTAGAGATGGAGCCTTTAAAAGCTAAGGTATACAAGGAGCAGAAATTATTCCACCTGTCCTGCACATGAAAGAGTTCTTGAGTGACAAAATGGAAACTCTTCCAATCAGTTAATAAGGAAAAGAGGTGCTGATGCAGTTCTGAATTGTTGCCTGGGTGGAGAATAAAGAAAAGAAAGGGAATCATGTGGGTCGGTGATAGTTCATGCCGAACCAAATTGCTAGCAGGAAACTTTTCTTGTGTTACAGGATCGCTGGACGGAGTTGGGGAAGGAAGAGAAACTTGAACATTCTCCTCAGGAGCATTTCTGCCTAACCCAGTAGTTAAATGAGCCAGTGAGGCAACCCCATTGGACTTTATCATATCCAGCAGCTTCACAGGTTGCTCACTCGACAAGCTACCACCTTGGTCTGACGTCAATGCAAAAAAAACCAATTCCGGGTTTTTTTTCGCAACACAGCAAGCAACTCAAGGTCTGGTTCAGGCACACTCCCATTACTGATCTGAGAAGTCGACGATGCAGGCATCTCGGCAACAACTGTACTGATTTCATTTTCCGGGAGAGAAACCACTGTTTCTGCACCATCAGGATCAGGTAGTTGCTCAGTTGGGATTTCCGGGGTTAGAGTGTCATCATACTCCATCTCAGAGTCCCACGGTTCCTTAGGATTGTGTGGTATCTCCAGAGATGTCCTGTAAATAGTTTCTTTTTTTTTTTTTTCCTGCGGATTCTGTTTCGCTGTACTTCAACCTCTTTGCTATTCTCGCCCATGCCAACTGGACTTTATCAACGTTCCCGGATTGATTGAGTGCTGTTTTCAATACAGCTTCGGTGACCTGAGGTGAGAGGTTGTCGATGGAAACAGTTCGCCTTACTTTCTCCTCAAAAGCAGCATACTCTGCTTCTGCTGAATCCATGCAATCGACGGTAGGGAGGGTAACAAGGAGAGGAAGGGCAGTGATGGTGGACTCGAAGAAATTTCAAGGTATGTGTAGAAAATTCTAGCGGATTAGGTGGAGGTCCGGCGGACGGCTAAGGTGAGGTTGCCGCCCGCCGGTGAAGCGAAAAAATATAAGGTTCTAAACCCGCTCTGATACCATGTAAAATAAATTGATAGAGAGAGATACAGAGAGAACGAATTATGTATTGATTGATATTATTGATTGATTGATAGATTGATGTGTATTGATTTGTATGTTACAAGCTATTATATAGGAGAGGTGTGAGGTAAGTGAGTGGTGGTAGTGGATGGTAGTGGAGGTGGTGGGTGGTAGTGGAGCTGGTGAGTGTGTTAGGTTTAGTGGGGTGGATGTAGTGGGTTAGGTTAGTGGGTTAGGTTTAGTGTACATTAACACCTATTTTCTTCTCCTCCTTTCTTTCTTTCTTCAATTCTTGCAGCCTGTTCACGGCACCCTAAAACAGCCTCTAAACAGTGTAAAATCAGCCCCAAAGCCCACTGTTGTGGCTGTCCCTAATCGTCCTGCATCAGGTGCGGTGTGGTTTCTATAGGTTGAATTTTAAGGCTCATGGTTAAAAATAAGATAATTCAGGGAGAGAGGGGGTATGTCTTTTCATATTTACGATAAGTTGGATTCAATGCTCTTGGTTCAATTTAGCATGCACATGGCAGTGGCCAACTTCCTTCTACTTTTCCTATTGGTTGCCCAACTTACATTGAAGAGTTGGTGCCCATGGTATACAATTCCAATGTGATCCCACTCTGTTTTGCTCAAACAATCCTACTGGTTTCTTTCCATTTGATGAACATAAAAAGCTTCTTCAGCTTTGGCTTTAACATGCTGCCATGTGTGTGAAGCAAAGTCCCACATCACCTGAGTACTAAAGTAATATTAAGCATACAAGTGTGAGGGCACCCTCACCTTAATAGCTAACTTTTGGGGTGAGTTCTACCCAAGGCCATGTAACAGTCAGTCCCTATGTGAGGCTATAATCTGAGGGCTGAAAGGTAGATTGCCATACCAATTTTAGTTGTTGGAGTCAACAAACTTACAACTGTGAGCAGAAATCACTGTAGAATCAAGCACTATGTGGCATAAACTTCTCTATGATAGAGTTTTTGATATCATTTTCCTTACAGTGGCCTACCTTCTCTGCTTATCCGTGTGATGTCATGCTTTGTTCTTTAGTTTTTCCACCTTTGTTCTCTTTCTCTATAAAAAACTAGCATTCCATGTGCATGGGTTAATATAATGATAGCAGACGGTGACATTAGTGATTCTTTGGGTGAGGGATTTATGTGACCACTGTTTAAATGCCTAAACCTCAAACTAATTACTAGAGCAGCAAACAAAATCTATGTTCCGGACTCGAGTAGAAAGATCTGAAACGCACAAAGGCTCACAAGGTGGCATAGCCTGACCCAAATAGTAGGTTGATCTTCTGAGGATGGTCATGTGCCTTCAAAAAGACTGCTTTATGTCGGATTATCATCTACTTTGTGAAATCATGGACTTAGACTGCAACTACTGGACCTTAAGATGACTCCTGACTCCCGAGGCAGACTTTCTTGGCAAATTTAGGGTTGCAGAGTCCACTTTATCAATTGTAGAGGACATTGCTACCACTTGTGATCCTGACTGTGACGATGTCCCACTAAAATGTTATTTTTCCCTTTCTTCTGATTGTTATTCTTGTATGTTCTCTTTCTAGTTAGGAAGGATGCCTAATGCTTCCTTTGTACTCTCTCTCTCTCAAAAGTTTTTAATGTGAAAATTAGGATATTGAAGCGTAAATTGTCACATGTTGATCATTTTTTTTTTCTTTTGAAATATGTTAATTAGCTTACCAAGCCATGACAGCTTATGTTCTTAGACTGATGAATGTTTCTTGAATGGCTGTGATCCTTGTATTCAATTCATGACTTTTATCTGGTCTGACAAGTATATTTATCTACAGACTATTGAAAGTAGTCCACGTGGGGAAAATCAAGGGGAAGACGTGACCTTGTCACAGTTGGTAAATTCTGCTCATCCTTTTTATTTATTTGTGTTACCAAGGGGACTTCAGTGTTTTTTACGTTGTAGTAACATTTTTGAATGCCCTTAAATTATTTTGTTGATTTGAAAATGCCGTTTACACATGTTTACAACTTTCCTTTACAGAATTTGATTGACTTGGCTGGATCCGAAAGTTCCAAAACGGAGACGACTGGCTTGCGAAGAAAAGAGGGTTCATACATTAATAAAAGCTTACTTACCCTTGGCACCGTAAGATATTGCTATTTCCTCCTTTCCCCTTCTCTTTGATTTTCAGACATACTTGTGGTTTGGCATTGTGTTCCGATTTTCATGATTACTAACACAGATCTTTCAAAGTTTTTGTAGATTGAGATATTAGATTTGAGTTATAGTGAATTGCTCTTGGTTCTTGCATCTTTTCTTAGTTATATGTTCTAAAGGGGTTTAGGCAATCTAATACTTATTGCAGTAATGTTGTTGAACTGTAGATCCTTTTCGTGGCATAGACTGGATCATCTGGGTATATTTTTGTGCAAAGTGCTGTACCATAAACCCAGAGATTTTTAATTTGCTTAACTTCCCAACTCCTATAATTACCAAGTTATCATTTACTTGATTGCCATTTCTGATCAGCAAAATCTGTGTTTGTGATTATGTCTAATTTCAGGTGATATCTAAATTAACAGATGAGAAGGCTACTCACGTTCCTTATCGAGATTCAAAACTCACTCGTTTGTTGCAATCGTCCCTCAGTGGCCATGGGCGTGTTTCTGTAAGTTATATTTTAATAGTAGGGGACTTCTACAAAGCACTCTGCACACATGTTGTGTTTCACCCCCCATCCCGACCCCACCCCATAAAAAAAAGTAATGTTGGTTAGATGGTCAGTAGTTTCACTTGGGAAAATAAATGATATAGCTGTCAAGTTAGCTATCATTATGGTAATTTTCATTTGATTCACTATAGTTTCATTTGTTAATTTGTTTTTCTGGAATTGCTTTTGATGCTTTGCTTTAAAATCTTCTTTCTTATTTGAACCTGTAGCTTATTTGCACCGTGACACCTGCCTCTAGCAATAGTGAAGAAACACACAATACACTGAAGTTTGCCCATCGGAGCAAACATGTGGAAATCAAGGCTTCTCAGAATAAGGTGGCTTGTAATCACTGTTTGTGTTAAATATTTACCAACAATGGGAAATTTTCCAGGGTCTACCTCTCTATCTAATGTCTCTAATGTTTGCTCTATTAGATTATGGATGATAAGTCTCTCATTAAAAAGTATCAGAAGGAAATTTCCTGTTTAAAACAAGAGCTTCAGCAATTGAAGCGGGGTATGATGGAGAATCCGTATACGATGGCATCTAACCAGGAAGATTTGGTTAATTTAAAGCTTCAGGTTTGCGCTGTTCCATATGCTTGGATATTATCTTTTGTATTTTTTGTTTTTTATTTTAAATTTGCAAATCGATAAACTTAATGCTTATTTCTATTTATCTTTTAATATTGGTATGGGCACCAAGAGTTAGCAGAGTTCCACATACAAATATGACAGTCATGATAAGCCTAGATGTTAAAATCCACCTACTCTCCACCTACTTCACCCACTTAAACCTACTCCACTAAACCTAACCCACTACACCACTACCACCTCACCTACTCCACTAAACCTAACCCACTACACCACTACCACCTCCACTTCACCTACTCCTTACCTACTACACACTCACCCTCTTCTATATATAGGAATCATGAATCATTGTAATAAATATCAAAATACAATAAATCAATAATACATACAATTTATTATCTATCAATTTATTTTACACTAGATATATCATAAACACTAGGGGTGTTCAAAAAACCGAATCACCTGATAAAACCGACCAATCCGAACTGACCCGAATGATTATGGTCGGTTTCGAAAAGCCTCCACGGTCAGCTCGGTCCTTGTATGTAAAATTTATCAATTTTTCAGTCAGCTGATGGTTGTGTTCCTTGGGAACTGACTAAATCCGAACTGCCCGAAAAATAGTCCAATAGGCTTATAGGAATTAAATATCTTTACTCTTCTTCACGTGATAATAATAATCAAAACTTTGAGTCTCTGTATCAATTACAGAAAAAGTAGCACATGGCTCCAAAAAAAAATGACAGACCTTTCTTTTCCCTTTCCTTTCCCTTTTGTTTTGACAACTTAATAAATATTTGACCAATAGTAAGGTAGTCTAGTGCCTAACCCTATAACACAGTCAGATTGATATTTTCAATACATGGATACATGTGATTAATTATAATTATATATATATATTTAATATATTTGATTATAGTCACATCATCATACATGATGTTATGATATACATGGTGTTTGGGATATATCATATATATACATGTTTTTTGTATTGTTGTTTGTCTGCTGTTTACTCTTCGTTTCTTCTTGCAAAACTGTAATAGCCCTCTCTCTCTCTCTCTCCAAACACACTCTCTTTCAACCCCTCTTCGATTTTGATGGTTTATTGCATCTAGATCCATTCGGTCATTAACGACCATTATCCAGATCACTCTGTTGTGATGCTCTTGGATTAGATTGAAAAGCTATGAATTTGAACAACATACCACAACCCTCTTCTCACTTTCTTTGTCTTTCACAAATCTGTATGTATATTTGTTTATGCGAGAGAGGAGGATAAGCTGTTGATGGAAAAATCACCCAAAAATTCGACCGATTCCGACTGACAAACCGTAAGGCCTGATGCTTGCTATTTCGAATTGTCTGTGGTCGTAATCGGATGTTAAATTCTCCCACCCGTGATGGTTGGTTGGGTGGCAAGTTGATAGTGAAACCGGTCCGATCTGACCCAGTCAACACCCCTAATAAACACTCCATTAGTAGTGATTGCTACTCTATTTGTCTATGTTCTGCTGATGCTATAGAATATATCATGTTTAATTTAAAAATTGATGCATGATTGCTGATACTTAGCAATTAGAAGGTAGAATTTAGGGATAGTTATTTATTTGCCTCTGTCGAAGAAAAAAAGTAATTTTTAGCTCTGTATGTTTTATTCATTGAAGTAGTTTTATGTGCTGCTAGATTTCTTTCTAATGTGTTGCTTTATTACGTTGCAGTTAGAAGCTGGGCAGGTCAAGTTACAGTCAAGATTGGAAGAGGAGGAGCAGGCCAAAGCTGCTTTGATGGGAAGAATTCAGAGACTAACTAAACTAATCTTAGTTTCGACAAAAAACACAATGCCGTCAAATATTCCCGAAAAGGCTGGCCATATACGAAGGCATTCTTTTGGGGAAGATGAGGTACCTGATATATTGATATAAGCTCAGTTTAGGCTGACAGAAGTTTCTTGATAGCCTGCAAGGCAATACTGTATGCAATGCCTGGATTTTTAATTTTATGAAGCTGTTACTTTATAATTTAGATTTCTTATCTTTGCCAAGTTTGAAGTGATAACCATGCCATCCTTGCCTACATTTGACCCCATTGTTGATGCAGCTAGCATATCTGCCAGATAGAAAACGAGAATATATGATTGATGATGATGCTGGAAGTCATGTTTCTGAAATTTCAGCAGATGGAAGAAGTGACGTCGCTAATCTAGATGACCTGGTTAAAGATTACAGAAGAAATAGAAGGCGAGGAATGCTTGGCTGGTTTAAACTAAAAGTAAATTCTCTTACATTTCTCCCTCTACATTCTTTTGCAACTTGCTTTGCATTTTGCAATTGGATTGTCTGTGGATTTTAGGTTGCTAGAAAATAATATGAAGTAGAAATCATGGATCTGTTAGCTTGTTTCACTGCTTCCTTTTCAAATGTCTTTGTTTTCCTATCAAATTTAATTTTGAAAGTTGGAGGATGACTTTGTGATGCTGTCTGTGGGAAGAGTAAGAAAAATCAAAATATAAGAACAGCTAAGTTCGGAAATTGGTTCGTTCAAACAAAACTCAATTGTGATCAATTGGATCAATGTACAATTAGGTTTTGTTTTAGTGGAGTCTTATATTATATGACTACTTAGGCTAGGTATTACTCAATTTAGTTTTCTATATGATTTATTTAGTTTTACAGCGTAGGGGTATTTTGGTAATTTTAGATTTTTTGGACATGGGTTGTACGCCCGTGGATCATCATCATATATGGGTCAAGTTATGTAATAGGGCTTTTATTTTTGGGTTTTATTTAGTTTTAGAGAAATTTCAAAGCTATTTTAAAGCCACTTTGAAATTGTTTGATGTAGTCAAACTTTAGGTGTGGTGTTTAGTTTAAGGCTTATAGGAATGATTACTAGAGTAGTACCTAACCCAAAGATTGGCGAGGCGGCAAGGGGGGGCTAATGAGACTAGACACAGGATCAAAATACCTATACCGTTTAGACATGGAAGAATACCCCAAGAAGACACAATGAATAAACTTGTCATCTAACTTTGTACGAGTGGGACTTCGATCCTGAACAAAATAGGTACACCCAAAGACACGAGGTAGGATAGGAAATAGAGTAGTGTGGGGGGTATAAGGACATGAAACAAGGTAAGACCTTGCAACACACGACTAGGGGTCCTATTAATAAGGTAGACATCAGTGAAGACAACCATATGGCAGTAGGATTTAGGGACACTCATACCACGAAGGAGACACCTCACAACAGACATGACATGACGGTTTTATGTTCAGCAGCACCATTTTGCTCAGGAGTCTATGGACATGTGAGTTGTTGAAGAATACCGGTCTGATTAATATAGGAACGAAATGCATTAGAAATATATTCCCCACCATTAGCAAAACGGATATTCCTAACAATTGTACAAAACTGAGTGTTAACCATTTGCAAAAATTGAACAAAAAATGGGAAACACGTCAGACTTACGATGAAGCAAATATACCCAAGTGCATCTAGTGTGGTCATTAATAAAGGTGACATAATATCTATAGCTAGAAAAAGCAGGGACAGGAGTTGGACCCCAAATATCGGAATGTATAAGGTCAAAAACACTAGGGGCACGAGTCATATGAGGTATGTAATTGGTATGAGTATGTTTAGATAATTCACAAACCACACAATAAAACTTAAAACCTTTGTAGCCTTTATTTAATAAAGGAAAAAATTGACGTTAAATATTGAAAATTGACATGACCCATGCGTGCATGTCACAATTCTAAAGTTCGAACATTAAAAACACAAGATATAGAAGCAGACAAAACAGAAGCCTAAAAACTAGCTAAAGTAGAAGAAAGTTGGTCCAGTGGATCCCTAAAGTAGTAAAGTCCACGCTCATATCCTCTGTCAAAAATCCTCTTCGAACTCAGGTCCTGTAAGAGACACGAAGGAGGTAAGAAAATTAACAGAACAATTGAAGGTCTTGGCAAGCTGACTAATTGATAGTAGATTATATGCGAAATTAGGAACGTGCATAACAAAGAATACAGTAATATCAAGAGATAAAGACACTAGACTCGTATGATAAACAAAGGATAAAGTCCCATCAACAAGACAAACATATTGGTCTATAGTAGTAGAAACTGGAGATGAAAGAAAGGGAAACTCACCCATTATATAATCATTAGCCCTAGAATCCAAAACCCATGAGGGACTAGTAGATTGAACATTAAAAGCAGTAGAAGTACTTGCAACGAGAGTAGTAGTAGTGGAGGATGATGGGCCAGAAGAAGTAGTGATAAAAGTCCCAAGCTGAGTCTGAAACTGGCCAATATGAGTCTGTAACTGCTGTAAAGTAGGGATACTAGGAGACCTAGAAGCAAGAGTGGCCTCCACTAAAGCAGCAGTGCGAGGTGTGCTAGAACCACGAGGGTGAGAAGATCGTAACCTCAAACTCAGGACGAAGTTTGAAGCAGTGAGCCTTGACATGATTAGGAGCCCCACAATGACGACAAGTAACTGAACTAGTAGAACCCCGAGAACCAGATGATGCATCACACGCAAGTTTGAAGCAAGTTTAAGCTAACTGTTTATGGGCTGCAAGTGGTTATCTATGAACAAAGGCAATAGGAAAAGAGAAAAGATGAAGAAGACTAGGAATCACTCCTAGAATCCCTTAGGCATCACACCTAGGGTTGGGTTGCATCACACAAACCCTAAAGAGGCTCATAGCTCTGAAACTTGTATAAATTCTAATTGATTATTTATTAGAAACAATAGATTGCTTTATATTGGACTAGAAGACTTCCTTAACCAACTAGGACCAAAATAGGAAACTACTAAAACTACTATAAAATCTTTGACTTCTAAAACTTATTTAATATCAAATAAGACTCACAAACATATTAAACCAATACCAAGACCCAGGGGTCAACCCAACGACCCTTTATTGAGACCCACTTCAGAAATTCTACAAATTACAAAAATACCCTTAACCCTAAAACATAAATATAAATAGAGAAAAGACTCAAATTAATTTATTCTAGTTCCCAAGTGGGCCCGACATCATCCAACGCATGCCAAATCAAAACTTGATCCTTAGAAGCATCTATGCCACGCCGTTTATAGACTAGTACTACGTTGCCACTTGTCTCCATCACCGGAGTTTACGGCAAGGGCCATATGGTCAGATAAGATAGGAGTCACTGGAGTAGTGGTAGGTTGAACCAGATGCCGGCGACACTCATCACTGTCAATGGTGGCGAAGGCCTCATAGAGGGATGGTATGGGTGATGTGTTTAAAATCTGAGTTCGAAGAGATTTAAACTCAGAGTTTAAACCCATCAAAAACTAGTAAATGTGCTGGAGGGCAAGGCGGACACGAGCGGCAACGTCTGCTGGTAACTCAGTCAAGGGATCATATTGAGCCAATTCCTCCCAACAAGCCTAAAGGTATCAAAGAACTCTGACACAGAGAAACCCAAAGCAGACTAGGAGGCACGAACAATGTCCTGATAGAGCTCAAAGATGTGAGCATCATTATGAGCATGGGCACACACCTGAGACAAGGCACACCAAAGACTCGAAATCATGTCGCAATAGAGAAACATGTGCTAAATACGGTCCTCCATGAAGTTGAACATCCATCCCAGAATAGTGCAATTATCTATATCCCATTGGGCATGTGTAGGATCTGTCGCTGTAGGCTGGGTAGAAGATGAGAGCCAATGGGCCTTTTCCTTTCTCCCTAAATAGAGTTTAAGGGAGTGGCCCTAAGCAGTAAAATTATTCCCATTGAACACCACACTCGTAATATGGTGAACAAGAGTGTGATGAGAAAGAGAAAAATCAGAACTCACTGGGACAAGTTTTATGGGTACATCAAATGCAACAACAAGGGATAGATCAGTTATGGTGGGATAATAGGGGTTGAGAAATACATAAAGACACAGCGACACAGTCTAGAAAAAATTAAGAAGTTGGAAAAAACTCAACGGTTTATCCAAATAAATGCTACCGAATAAACTCGGTAGACCAAAGGAACAAAAGAGTAGAAAAAGGTGCTTAATACATTAGCACAACACCCAATAAGAGAAAAAGAGGCCACAGACCACCCTAGAGGGGTAGCTGAAGCACTAAAGACCACCTGCTATAGCCTCGATAGGGGTAATAGAGGTAGGGGTTGTCGGGGGTTCTAGGTGAGTCGGGCAGGCTGGGCGAGTGAAGGAGAAAGGGTGGGTAGACTGTCGGAGGCTTAGGGAGAGATGAGGCTGTCGAAGGATGGTACCAAAAAGAATGAAAAGAAGTATTTGGCTTACCTATGAATGAGGTAGAGGCCATGTTATATAATAGATTCATGGTATGATTTAGGAAATGATATAACATATAAACAAGGCACTAAATCAGTGATTGACAAAATCAGTGATTGACATAATTACGGATTGTATACACAATACTAAAAATAAAAAGTTCTATATACTCTAATTCCTATATTCAACAAGTCATATCCAAGCAATATTAGACAAATTGTTGTAGGCTAACTAATGGCTAGGAGGCAAGGTCCCTTTTGATGAGAAATCCAGAGCATCGTGATTCGTGACAGAGGGCTTCCGCCTTACACACTGAAGATTGGATTGCCTAAAGGCAAAGGGAATCTCATCCATTAAAGGGGACTTCAGACAAGATGTTGGCTTACTTTTGAGGGAATACTTAATGAATTCCATAATGGGATTGCAAGGATCAAATGGAATTTATTGATCTTGAAGTTCCCAAGTGAGAGAACAATGATGTGTATTTGATAGAAAATTCCAAAGGTAAGGAAATAATAATTGAAAGGCCATGTAAAAATGGGTTTTACCAAAAGAAAAGCTTCCTATTGATCCCTCACCACTGATTTTTTGATGAAGTTAGACTAGATTGATTTTGTTGATGTTGAGGAATTTTTTTGCAAATTCAATCCATGCCTAGTGAATCCCGTCAACAACTTGGGAATCAAGATTGGTTGGATTTGAAAGAAAATAAAGCAACAAGCTTATTCGAGGTACTTGATTCGCTGGCGTAGACGAGTTCAATACTTAAAAGGGAACTAAAGATCAGGTTCTTTTTCTTAAGCGAGGAGAGTGATACGGAACATAGAGCTTAATGTTCATGCTTGTGTGCAGCAACTTTGGCAAGGAAGCTTATTTACAATTTTAAAATTTTATGTCCCTGGTATTTTTATTTATTTGATTTATTAATATTTTAAGGATTCTAGCTTTCTTTTTCTATTAGGGTTTTTACCTTATACATAAAGATGTTTGGCATGGTATTATTCAGAGTTGATTAATAAGATTGATAACGTTTATGTGATTAGGGTTGTAGCTGTTGTGTTTTTCCTCTCTCACCTTCCTGTGTTCTTCCGTTCTTCCCTTTCTTTTTCTCTCTCTGTTCTACGTCAAATTGCCTTCGACTTTAATGTAATTTTCACTCTTCATTTGCACCAAACAATTCAAGAGTTTGAACTAAAGGATTTGGTGAAAGGTAAATTCTGGTAAGATGACTTTATTTTCAGGATATTCTTGTTGATAAAAAATTAAAAGTGATTATTATTTTTTTCTTCACTTGCTCCATAATATAGGTAGTCACTTTCTATTGCAAAAGGCGAATTAATTTTTTTATGACCTCACTCATCAAAATGTATCAATTTTCAATAGATCACTCTATTTTGCAGAAGCCTGAGAATCTGGTTGGCTTATCACCTGGTAGTGAGAGTGGGAGTTCTGCAAGTGGGTCACCAGCATCCCGTCCAAAACCATCGCAAAATAGAGTCATGTTTACTGATAATAAAGATGTAAGGAGAAAATCAATTAGTAGGAGGGGGGATGAACCTTCGGCCGTTGACTCTCTTCCGGAAAGAACCCAAGCTGGCGACTTGTTTAGCGCTACAGTTGGAGGTCGTCATCTACTGCCGGTGAGAGACTGCTTCATGGTCTGTGTACTAGTAGTTAATTAATGCCTACTGCATGGAGCTAATTATGCAAAAAGAAGCCAAGCAGCTAATTTGTTTGTTTGTTTGTTTTTTATTATTTTTTATGTCTTGTGTTTGTACTTTGATTTTTTGATAGACTACATTTTTTCATGTGAGCTTTCTTCTCATTTGAACTCCACTGATGATATTTTTTTTAAGCTCATTACCATTAGCGCTGAATACACAACATGCCATTCACATACTTTTATTTTATTCTGGCCAGTCCTTCACATGGTGTTTTTACTTTCTTAGAACAGTTTGTCCCTTTGATTTTTCGTCTGGCAGTTATTTCCTGCTTTCATGATTATTCGGCTGCTATTTCTCTATGAACATGTTTAGCAGCAATACGGTGGGGATGTTTCCTATGTTTGGTTCTCCAAGCATTCATATTTGATCACAATACCTTTCGGGAAAAGCACAAGGTAAATTCTCATTTGGGGTGAGAATTATGAAGTTACATGAATTTCAGAACCTATAATTATTTCTTAGCTGTCAACTGGTAACAGGTGGAGAGGGTTTTGGTCCCTTTTCAATATTTAGTTACATGGAATAGTATGATGCTCTAAGGGAGATGGTGATACTAAGGGGGTACTGTGATGGTTGCAGGGTGTTTTATATTAATGAGAATTTGTTCTGTTGGCTCCATTTACTCCTACTGGGTGTTGCATATGGCTTTTGAACAGCTTTTGTCTGAACTGTTCATGGGAACATTCCTAGTCAAGTTATGCTCTCTCTTCTTTTTCTTTCTTTTTTATTTTATTTTATTTTACGTGGAGGTCTGATGGGTGGAGAATTTCCATTGAATGAGGATGTTTGCAACCAACTCCTTCAAAAGCTTAAGGTTGTTAGAGGGCGTAAATTGAAAGGTGGTATTGTGAGACATAAAGAGAAGCCTAATGAGAAAGTGCAGTGAAACAATGTAATGAAGTTACATAGTAGGGAGACATAAAGAGTGATTACAAAGTTATATCATGAAATTGTGACATTGTCTTGGGTAGAACTCAACCCCAAAAGCTAACTTGTGAGATGAGAGTGCCCTCACGCTTATGCATTGCACATTCCCTTTGTATCCCGGCAATGTGGGACTTCGCTTTACACCTTCCCTCATCCCTAGCATATGAGATGTGCCCCCATTGTGGTGCCCTTTTGTTTTTTTCCCTTTCCCTCTTAATAAAACAAATGTTTTTAGTGATGTTATTTGAGGAAGCCATAAGGAAGTTGTGTTTGAAGGTTGAGACACATCCTGAGCCTTATTATGTGGCATGTAGGGCCAGCTTTGGGGCAAATCCCACAAAGCAGCTGCTTTGGGCCCCCAAAAAATGTCCAAAAAAAAGGCCCCAAAACTATAGTAGGTATTGTATTGGTTTAGAAAAAAAGGCCTACTTGATTTAGAAAGATCTAAAGTTTCTTATAAGAAGAGGCCCAATCTGAATAAAAAGGTCCCACATTTTGAGGCCTCAATTTATATTTTAAATGCATTTGAGATGTAGTTACAAACATATAATAAAATCATGTTTTTACCAGTTGGTTTCTGTTAGCAACAAGAATTAGAAGTATTCATCTAAATTTTTTTTAAAAAACTAATTGAAGAACTATCATATTTCTTAGCTTTTTATGTATTGATTTTTTTATATTTTTTTTGTTTTGTTTTTTAATTTGTTCAACTATGATGGAAAGTCTTAAATTTGTAATATAAAGTTGGGTTTCAAGATACAAACTCTGTTATAGAGATGAATTCTAATTTTTGTTTGATTAAATATTTATTTGATCATTGACTATATATATTGTCTATTACAATTACATATTTTTATTATTTTTTATGTTTCCTTTCATTGATTATTTGATTTGTAATGATTGAGGATTAAGTTATCATTATGATGATGTTAATAATTTTTGATAAACTATATCAAATATGTTTTGATGGGACTCAAGGCTTGGTTTGGTTTGGTTTATATCAAATATGTCACTATTCCTAGAAAGTATAATTTTGGACATGGAAAAAAAAAAGGAAAAAAAAGAAACAAAGAATAGAAGACTTAGTTTACTTTTTATTTGGTACTCCAACTTATATCTTAGTTTTTATTATTATTATAAACTTTGTTATATATTTAAGTAAATTTTAATAGTCTTTTTGTGAGCACTATTAAATGCAGAAATTTAAAACAATATTCGATATATAATCTTTCGATCAATTTTTCCCCCCCTAAAATATATATGAAAGGCCCCATATTTAGGGTTCGTTTTGGGCTCTAGAAAAGTCAGAGCCGACCCTAGTGGCATGGATAACCACACAAAGCTTAAGGTTGATAAATAGTGCGCATAACATTCAACATTGGCAAGCTCAACGAGATGATATTGTGAAATGTTCTTCCTCTTAACCTTGTCATATTCTCTTGGATTGTACATGGATATGGGATCTCGATGTTGTTCACACTAGATGCACCAATACCCACTTCTTCATCAACGACAATACAAAGTACAATCTTATTTGTGCCACCAATTCACACATTGTCAAGTTGAAGAAAAATTCATTGTTGATTTGGCATGTTCCTCCTTCAGATGGTATTCTTGGATGTGCTTCTAACTTGCCGGAGTCGAGTTTTTTTGAACGGGGAAGAATTGATGGCGCATTCCTTGATTGGTTGGAAGCCTGTTATCTGATTTGGAAGCCCAGGGCGAACTTGTGGGGCTAAAGACTTTTTGGTCCCATAAATGTAATTGGTAATATCATTATTTAACTAGGATTAAAAATGAATATTTGGTTTGGATATTTTTTATTATGTTTTCAAATTATACTAGGTTTAGTTTCCTATATTAATTTAAGGCTTTGGCCTATAAATATTAGCCTTTTGGCATTGTAATATGTAGTTTTGGCTAAGCATGGTTACTCCAAAAATATTGCCATACAAGTACCAGTATGACTGCATGCATACTGGGTACGCAAAATATGTATCTAGTACGTGAAATACTTTGGGTATGGGATGGGTACGACTTGGAAATGACATGAGTACGGGATGGGTACGGCCTGGGTATAGGTTGGGTACTTCTATGGGTACTATGGGACATGCATGTATTTTTATTTTTTAAATTTTACTTGAATAATTATGTTGTGCATACTTTTTTAAAATTTAAAAATATAGGGTATTTCTCCAATTATCAAAAATTAAAAAGCACTTAGAATTCTTTTTTTAACAGTTATAAATATACTTTAATTATTTTTTACCTTTGATTTTTTAATTATTAAATGTCATGTACTAATATAATTTATAAAATATACATTCTTTTTAGGGATATTTGGCCAAAACCCCTCTATTGGGCCCTTCTTTGATGCAAAGGACAGCTCATAAGTTTTTCTTTCATAAACCCCCACACCTGGAGGCTCATACTTGATGGAGGATACAGAAACAATTTTCTATAGGAAATTTGGCCAAAAACCCTCTATTGGGCCCTTCTTTGGTGAAAAGGACAACTCATAAATTTTTCTTTCATAAACCCCCTTCCCTGGAGGCTCATACTTGATGGAGGATACAGAAACAATTTTCTATTTCTTTTTTGATAATCTTACCCTTCCATATATACGCGAGAGATTTGAATGAGATTGAAGAAGCTATTCCCACTGCTTCGGAATCTTACTCTTCACAGGTGGTTCTATTAAAATGGAAATCCTCTTGCAAGACCCAATCCATGACTTGAATCAAAATCCAATTCCAAAAATTCATGAACCAAAACGAAGAAGAAGAAGAAAAATAAGAAGAGTTCCGTGAGGAAACAGCAGAGGAAGAATGTTTCATGTCGACCATTGCAGTGAAAGTGGGTCTGGGTTTGGGTCTTGGTTGGGTTTTGATGAAAGTGGTGGTGGGTGTAGAAATCCGTGTGATTAAGGAGAGTTTGGTTGAATTGTTGTTTGTTGTTGATTTGTTTATGAACTTGTAGTGAAAGAACTCGTAAAGTTTCCTTCAGTTTGTGCTCTGTTTTTTGGTACTGATGCCATGTTCAAGAAGACAGTAAAGTGTTACTCTAGTAGTCGGTAACATTTTACTGTGAAACTGAGTAAAATGTTAATGTCAAAAAAAGTAAAATGTTACTGTATAAGCTAATTTTGATGGTAATTATTTTTTTTAATTTAAAGAATTTATAGTCAACCTGCATCTTGTTTAATAGATTTTGATGAAGGATTCTAAAAATACTAATTTTATTAAAAACTGGTATCTAGATCAAAAGTTATATCATTTTAAAGTTAAAAATATTAAACTAGTCAATAAGGATATTTTGGTAATAGTGGTATATCCTGGACTTTGCATGGAAATTTTTTTGTGCTTGTCCTTAATACATTAAAATTTTATTATGAAGGGGTTTTGACCACATCTCCCATTTTTTTATAGATGTACTGGACCGTACCCACACTTTGTTTTTTTTGGTTTTTTGTATTGGTGTACCTGTAACGTACCTGCACCCGCATCCGTATCCGCACCTATGTTTCCTAGAGTTTTGGTTATAATATTATTGGGTATTATCAGCTGTGGCTGATTGAGCGTCTCTCTCTCTCTCTCTCTCTCTCCTACCCCATTCTTCATTAGTCTCTTTGTAGCAATTGGATCTTTTTCAGTAACTCCAAGAATAGAGGCATAATAGTCATGCTTTCTCCTTTCCTTTTTTGGCAGATATATTCTTCCTTCAAAGTAATCATTTATAAATGAATAGGGTTACAAAAATCCACTTCGAATCCCAAATTAATTTTTGGTGCAGTAGTTTTTTTGGGGGGATAGAACCATAGCTGAAAGGTTTTAATTGGCCTCCAGTGTAAGATTATCTTGTACCTTCATAGGACTGTAATCCTGAAATTTATATATATTTTTTAAAACTATCAGAAAGTCCATAGTATATTAATATTAAATTTGCTTTGGAATGGATTTCTTTACTGTGATTTGTTTGAAGTGTACAGATGTTTGAAATTTAGAAAAATGTCAAAAGCGATCTAATGCCAGGAAAACTAGTAATGTTGCAGATTCTGCATAACCTGCACTGCTAATGTTCCTTAGTTCCCCTTCCTATCCAAATTATTGGTTTAATAGAAGTTGAATCTTTTAAGAGTATTGGCTTCAAGCTAGAATTTACCTTGAATGCTGACTGATTTCTTTGCAGACTGGGACAACTATTATCGATCAAATGGATCTTCTCCGTGAGCAGGTGAAAATGTTAGCTGGGGAAGTGGCACTGAGTACTAGTTCTCTGAAAAGACTGTCGGAGCAAGCAGTTAGCAACCCTGAAGACTCACAACTTCAGGTTAGTCACCTCTTAAGAGTTCCTCACTCTAAGAAAGAATGCGTAAATGTGATTGATGTTAATATTCACCTCTTGGTGCTTGTAATTATCATACAGGAGCAAATGCAGAAACTGAAGGATGAAATTAAAGAAAAAAAACTCCAAATACGAGTGCTAGAGCACCGTATGGTTGGGTCAGTAGAGATGACTCAGCATGCTTCAAATAGCATCGAAATGTCTCAGGTAATTTTATGCAGTTAATTAATGCAAGAAAGAGTTCATTTGGAATGAAAATTTTCTGTTGCTCAAGTAAGAAATTATAAATTGATAAATTTTCACTGTTGGTTTTTCTAATCATTAGGAGCTACTAGTAATGTAAGTGAACTCTCTCTTTCTCTATCATCTCTGCGTTGTGGTTTGTTCTTATTACTGAATCAAATATGCTTTCTATTCATTCTGATGTAGGCTTTGTCCAAACTTACTACTCAGCTAAACGAAAAAACTTTCGATCTCGAGGTATGTTTAATCTACGAACTTGTTTGATGCAAAATATTTTGCTATCAAATGGAAAACATTTGTACTAATTTGATCATTTTGTTGTGGGATGGCTAATCAAGATTAAAACAGCTGATAATAGAATACTCCAAGAACAACTACAATTGAAGGTAAACAGTACTGCTGCATGATATCTTCTTAAATTATTACATTTTTTAATGTTCTGACAAAGTTATGTTGCTTTAACAAGGTATCAGAGAATGCTGAGATGCAAGAAACGATTCTTCTACTGAGGCAACAGCTTGATTCTTTATTACCAGAGAAAACGTATGGCTGTCTACAACACCCTGCAGACATTGGAGTCACCAGACACAATACTTGTGCTGAGGACTTTTTGGAGAGGAGATATGGGGAAACTTGTATTGATGAAAGTACTCCTACAAGTGTTATGAGTTTGAATAGAATATTCTCCCAAGAGGAGTCCAAAGAGTGCAATAGTGATACTACTTTGCATTCCCAGCTACTTATGCAGGTTATTTTTCTTTTCCATTTCTTGTCCTTCGCTGCTATGGATGTCTATTACTTGTTTCTGTCCTGAGCATTATCTTATCATTTTGGTAATTGTTGTGGTACTACATCGTTGTGATGTTATGCTTCTAAAGATGAGTATACTTTTCATTATTTTGACTTAGGCTGCTGAAATAGAGACACTGAGCCAAGAAAAGGTGAAAATGACTGAAGAAAAGGACAAGCTTGAAATTCACTGCGAAAAACTGACTGAGGAAGCTTCCTATGCAAAAGAGCTGGCTGCAGATGCAGCAGTTGAGCTGCGTAACTTGGCTGAAGAAGTGACAAAACTTACTTACCAAAATGCTAAACTGACTGCTGATCTGGCTGCTGCAAAGGAGGCTTGTTGTATATCTAACTCCTTTCAAAGATCTGCTTCATTTGATGTGAAGAAAAATAGTGGCAATGATGCTCAACCTGATGCATGCTCAAGAAAACCCGACAATGTATTGGTGGGGGAGTTGCAGCATGAACTTAACACAAGATACCAAAAAGAAACTTCTTTGGTAACCGCATTATCTGAGAGTGATGAAATAGCAGATGAGCTGCGGAAAAGACTTAATGAAGCAAAGTGTCGTGAAGAAGATCTAGAAAATGAGCTGGCCAATATGTGGGTGCTAGTTGCAGAGATGAGGAAGTCTGGCATGAATTATGAGGACATTTCTTCACAGGGGGATCATGTTTCTAACAATTTGCAAACAGTAGTTGGAAATAGATTTTCTTCATCTAATGGTGTTTCCAAAAAACCATATGAACAAGACAACAAATGTGGAAACATGAATGAGAAGAGTACATTTGAAGAATTAAAAGCTAATTACCACAGAGAAAGGAGAAGGTGCAAAGAACTAGAAAGTTTGGTTTTGAGATTGAAGGTATGTGCCTTCCAGGTTTTGTGATTATATGACATGAACTCCTGTTAAAAAATATTTGGAATTTTTATATGTATTTACTCAACTTTTTCAGCATTTTTATCCAATTACATAACCTTCAGTTTGAAATGTATTTAGTATTTATGTACATGTACACAATTTTTGAACTTACCAAAATTATACCAAAACATTCAAATTTTCCTGTTAGCTCTAAATTCCTGCAGTTTCCTCAGTCAGCCCAAGTAGTTATGAAATTCTTTCTATATGAACAATAATTCCAAAGAAAAAATTCCTTCATTTCAGGGAGATGATATTTCTGGTCTCGATATCACTTCTCTTGAAGAACTTCAAAACCTTCATGTTGAGGCTATTACGAAGATTTGCCATGCGAAGGTGCTATTTCTTTTGTTTGTTTTCTATCTATGGATTTTGTATAATGCCAATGCTTTCTAATATTGTATGTTGCCACGTCTGATTTACGATGTAGCCATGTCTCACAGTTTATTGTGGGATTTTTTTACAATGTCGTGCGTTTCTTCTATTGCATCTTTTCTTTGCCCAGAGTTATAACGTGTATGGTCTTTGTGATATTTTTCTCTGTTAGATCACTACTAGTCCTAAAAACTTAAGTTGTTAGTAAGAGTAATCGTTCGGTCTGGAGGCCTGCAACCCAGCCCAAGGCAGGTTGGACTAACCTGAATGGTACTTAGGCTTAGACCTGGGCCTGCTTGTTGGACTCAGTCCTGCCCGTTAGCCCAACTTGTTAGCCTGTGAGAGGCCACCTGAAAAGCCCGTCTGTTAGCCCGCTTCATTTAAAAAAAATTATTGACTGTTGGGTACATATAATATAACATATATGGTCATAACATAATTATGTTTCGGTTTGTTTGGTTTGGGTTTCTCAGCAGCATGTTAATACGTTCAGTGTCCTAATTTTAATGGAGAAACATTTTGATGTGGATCATTGCCAGTTTATCTTTGGGAGATCAAGAAATTTAGCTGAAACAAGGCCAATGAAACTTTAAAAGTGCAAGTGCTTGGTGAAAATTTACAGATTATGATTTCTTATAATGAGAAGACTGGATCATTTATTTCTCCATTGTCTGGTGGCCCTTTTATTATGGCAGCGTCTTTTCGGTCTGTGTGATGATTAGTGGGTTGCTCCGAGGGAGTGCACACACATGCTTCTTGTTAGGTTTGAACGGTTTGGTTGCAATAAGAGAGCCCAAACATCGTGGTCTTGTATTGTTTTAGCTATCTTTTGGTCTATTTGGCTAGAGAGAAATGTACGGATCTTTGATGGAAAGGAGTCAGATGCAGAATCTCTATGGGATAAGGCGGGATATTTGGCTTCGTTTTGGGCTTTTGTGTCTCTTCCTTTTAAAGGAGTTCCATTTTTCTTGATTTCTAGGGATTAGGCTGCTATTTGCCATCCTTAGTGATTGGATTTTTCTTGTTATTTCCCGATTTTTGTTTTGATTTCTTTCCTTGTACGAGGCTCCTTGTCCTCTCTTTTTGCTTGCTTATGCTTAATAAAATTCTTCCTTATTTTCTACACATACCTTTCCATCACTGCCTAAATCCTCTCTCTTGAGGCCAATGTGAATTCCTCTTCTTCATAACCTGCACTAACTGTGGCATCTTTTCCTGGGGCAAACTCTGCAACCCAACACTCAATCTATGCTTCTCCTCCATGCTCATTTGCCTCTTGTTAGGATCCTTCGCCTTCGGCTTTGGTTTGGGCTTCGCCACAGCCTTGAGCTTCACTGCAGCTTTCAGCTTCACGGCAGCCTTCGGTTTCACAGCAGCTTTTGGCTTCGCAGCTGGCTTGGCCTTTGCCGCTGGCTTGGGCTTCACAGCGGCTTTAGCTTTTGGCGCAGCAGCTTTTGTCTTAGCCGGAGCCTTCTTTTCCTTTTTCGCTTTTACAGCCTTCGGCTTTGCAGCAGCCTTCGGCTTTGCTTCCCTCTGGTGGCTCCCCAGGTTCCACCTGAGCTGCATGATTCATTTATAGCTGCAATTGATAAGGGAAGTATTAGAACAATGCCCAATAGAAGTATGCCAGCTGCTCCTTACCCTACTCCTGGAGCACTATTAATAGGTGATGCTTTCAACATGCGTCATCCTTTAACTGGTGGAGGAATGACTGGAGCCCTATATAAGGTGTTTTGTGCATCTCCTGATCAAGCAAGGAAGGAAATGCGTGAAGCATGTTTTGATTATTTGAGCCTTGGAGGTGTGTGTTCAACAGGACCAGTGGCTTTACTCTCTGGTCTAAATCCTAGCCCATTGAGCTTGATACTCCATTTCTTTGCTATAGCCATATATGGTGTTGGCCGTCTCTTGCTACCATTTCCTTCCCCTAAGCGCCTGTGGATAGCAGCTAGATTATTTTTGGGTGCATCGGCTATCATTTTTCCCCTCTTTCTCTCACATGGGCTTGTCCCCTCTCTCTCCTCCGTTTGATTTCAAAATCCATTATTTTTATTTATTTTCTCCAAACCACTTTCCTTATTTCCCCCATCTTTCATTTTGATTTCAAATATATTTTTATTATTTCTTTTTCTTGAAAAAGGTGGAATTGATATTGAAGTTGCCAAGAGCTGGTATATTAACAATAAATTCAGGCCACTTCAACGCACACTCTCTCGATTTCTTGACAGAATTCCCCAAAGCCCTATCGTTTCTCGATCAAAAAACTAACGTCGCCGTCATAGTCCTCTCCGGCAATGGCGATCACTTCTGCTCCGGCATCGATCTCAAAGCCCTAAGCTCAATCACCTTCGAATCCAGCGACCACGGCCGCACAGCCGAGCGCGTCCGCCGAGAGATCAAGCGCTTCCAGGAAGCGGTCACAGCCGTAGAGAGGTGTCGGAAGCCAGTAATCACCGCTGTGCACGGGGCTTGTATCGGCGGCGGTGTTGATATCATCACCGCCTGTGACATTAGGTGTCGGAAGCCAGTAATCGCCTCCTCCATAGGCTGCTTGTGCGAACCTTTCAATTGCAGGTTTGAGTTCTTGCTTGCTTGCAAGGGAAATCTTGCATCCACAGATCTTGGCTTTTGTTGTTCCAGTCAACATAAATCAAGTTTGCTGTATGTACAGAGAGATGTTTCCAGTGTGCTTGATGTTCTTCGTCTTCTTGCGATCGCGCTCGGGCTCTTTCAGGGCCTTGATGACGAGCGCGGCGACGGAGGGGATGACGGAGACTTTGGCCTGGCGGTTCTGGATGGTGAGCTTCACGGTGACTCGGAGGCTGGTTCAGTCATTCCGAGAGCAAGCTCGATTGGGTGTTGCTGGGTTGCCTCCGAGAGAGAGAAGATTTGGACAATGATGGGAAGGTATGTGTAAAAAATAAGCGAAATAGATTGAGGTCCGGCGGGCGGCCAAGGCGAGGTTGCCGCCCGCCGGTGAAGCAAAATTACTAGAGTCTTAACCTTGCTCTGATACCATGTAAAAATTTATGTATTATTGATTGATATATTGTTGATACATATATTACAAATGGTGAGTGACTCATTATATAGGAGAGGGTGAGTGTAGTAGGTGAGGAGTAGGTGAGGAGTAGGTGGTGGTAGGTGATGGTAAATTGGTGGTAGGTGATGGTAAATTCTAACAGAAACTTTAAAAGTGCAAGTGACTTTAAAAGTGCAAGTGCTTGGTGAAAATTTACAGATTATGATTTCTTATAATGAGATGACTGGATCATTTATTTCTCCATTGTCTGGTGGCCCTTTTATTATGGCAGCGTCTTTTCGGTCTGTGTGATGATTACTGGGTTGCTCCGAGGGAGTGCACACACATGCTTCTTGTTAGGTTTGAACGGTTTGGTTGCAATAAGAGAGCCAAAACATTGTGGTCTTGTATTGTTTTAGCTATCTTTTGGTCTATTTGGCTAGAGAGAAATGTACGGATCTTTGATGGAAAGGAGTCAGATGCAGAATCTCTATGGGATAAGGCGGGATATTTGGCTTCGTTTTGGGCTTTTGTGTCTCTTCCTTTTAAAGGAGTTCCATTTTTCTTGATTTCTAGGGATTAGGCTGCTATTTGCCATCCTTAGTGATTGGATTTTTCTTGTTATTTCCCGATTTTTGTTTTGATTTCTTTCCTTGTATGAGGACTCCTTGTCCTCTCTTTTTGCTTGCTTATGCTTAATAAAATTCTTCATTGCTTTTGAGAAAAAAAAAAAAAAAAGCATCATAAGTATCATCTTTTATATTATTAACTTCATTTTGTTCCTTGACTTTTTGCATTCCATTTTTGACAGGCACAGGTTTCTGGTCTTTCACTATGGACAATCAGGCCAACTTATCAAGTTCAACTATACCCCCTATCCGGACTTACCACATATTTACCCCATGTACATTACCAAATTCTAACTGCAATATAATACTTCTCAATCTGTGCCCTTTGTCTGCATTTAATCATCAGTTGTTGTGACTTCTAAATGACTTTGGCTTCAAGGTCACATTTGTAATCCTTGGATTATGTGACATGAAGTTTATTTTGAGCCTTGATGTGTCATGGCAGTTTCATCTACAATTCCACGCCATCTTTTCTGCTGGGACTTTGTTGCCTTCTTTTTTTTTAAAAATTTTTTATTTATATAATGGCAAATTACATATACCCCCCTCGAGGTTTAGCAAAATTACAAATATCCCCCTGAGGTTTGAAAAATTACAGATATCTCCCTGAAGGTACTATTTGCATAACAAATTAGGGGCCAAATTGTTATGTAAATATAAATCTCAGGGGGCAATTTGTCATGAAAATATAAATCTCAGGGGGGTATCTGTAATTTCCGAAACCTCAGGAGGGTATCTGTAATTTAGCTAAACCTCGAGGGAGGTATATGTAATTTGCCCTTCTTTTTACATATATTTTCCTTATGGCTAATATTCTCTGGTTTATGATATGTAGTTCTCAAATCATGCCTTCTAACATGCTGGAGTGGAGATTCTGATGCATAGGTGAGTCCACATTCATGGCTTCCCTAGCAAATGGACACAATAATTATGCTTCTATAGTTTTGCAAATGTTGGTGAAAATAAAATTGATATTTTCTGAGCTGTCGAATACATGAAAGGTTGTTTAGACATTTGTATTAAATTAACTTGTTTCATAAGCAAATTTGTCCATTTCATTCCCTTTCAATTTTGTATTGAAATGCATATATGGCTACAGATGTAACCACTAATTCACCACCTTTGTTTCTTGTCTGGGGAGTCACTGGGCTCCTATGTCAGGTGGTATTTTAATTTGATCTTAACATGATAAATTACCTGTACCTAGACACCTATGAATCTTGAGTCAATGTTCTATGGCTTAATTGTTTACTGAATTGAATCTCTGTTAACATGTATAAAAAAATGACTTCAATTTGAGACATCTTAATTATTTTGGGCTCGTATCCAACAGTTCTGATATCTATGAGCTTCAATCAAATTGTTTCACTTTGATGCCTTCTCTCGAACTAGCTCATGGGAAGCCCAAGTTTTGGTTCTAGTTCGAACTTCTTTGAAGTTACAGACATCGTGAGAATAATTGTAATTTTATGGAACCGAAATGTTAGCCGTGTGGACTTGGAACCTCACAATGTGTTTGTATTTGAGGCATAAAGGAATTTCCTTGTGGTATCCATTGGGGTTACTGTGTACCTTATTGATGATCTGAGTGCAGTTGAGCATTTTCCTGTCTTTTGTATGTGTACCTGAAAGGAACCCCAAAAAAGAAACAAAGAAAAACAAAGAGTAAAGAATGTATATATGAATTGTTGCTGCAGAAAATGTGTAGTCAACCTTAATTTGCGTTCTTGTAGAATTAAAAAACCATGAAACTGAGGCACCATATAGTGAGTGAGTAAATAGGCCACCATAATTGTTTCTTTGTGGCTGTCATCTTTCTTCCATTCCATGCATGCTTGGTATATCTGAATAATCATTGTTTTCTAGAATAGTGAGGAAATGGTGTATATGCTTCTATCTGATGAGAAACAATCTTAAATAAATAGATTATGCGCAAGTGTGATCCATCTGATGATCTTCCCTTTTGGCATATCTCACAGGTATTATGTAGGTCGAATGCATTCCTGTACAGTGAATTCAGAACGATAACCATTCATGTCTCGAAGAGGTCTGTGGTCCTCGGTTATTTTGTGCAACCAACAACAATGGAGATGAACTTGTTGGAAGCTGAGATTGTGCAGCTAACTTGTAGTGAGAATGGAACCAAGTGACTGTATAACATAGACATCCTCTTATAAAATTTGTATTGCCTTTGTATTTGGGATATACCCTTGATGTACATGTCCTACTGTGACAGTAGAACAAAAAACTCTCATGAACCTCCTATAACTGAACAATTGTATGTATTTGTCATGTATAATTGCATTATGCTATTTTTGATTTTTTATTTTGAGCTCCTTTTGCTGCCCAGCTTATTCTTTTCCCAAACCATGAGTTGCAGAAGAAGGCTCTCCTAAGATGAGGCTTAGAAATCCCTTCATGATCGATGCTGTAGAAAACGAAGCAAAGAGAAAAACCCGGTGAGAATGCCCTCAGCTGAGTTTTCATGTGGAGGTAAGAAAATGAAAGAGATTTTCAGGACTTGGGAAGCCTGTCACAGTTTGCAACAGCACTCCAATTTGCTATTCTGTGGATAGCAAGAAAGAAGCATTTGCATGCTGAAAGAACTTCCATATGGGGCGGAAATCGTGTTGGATTTAAATTGGGTCATTTTAGATTGTCATTTTGTTTTTGAATTTTTTGTTTTTTGTATTGTCTTTAGCCAAAAAAATTCGTATTTTAATATCATTTTATTACTTTTTGATACACTAAGCTAATGCACTTTCAAAAATAAAATATTTATGAAGAAATTTATTTATTTATACTAAATACACAAAAATATATTTAACTTTTAGTAGTTTTTTGTATCTAGCAATTTTTTTTTTTTTTTATAAATTTTTTCGTAAGTATTTTAATTTTAAATGTATTTGGATTAAATAGATCTAAAAAAGTAAAAATAATTAATTATAATGTAAAAAAAGTGAAATAAAAGTTTAGACATACGAAAAATAAAAAATTTAAAAATAATACTATTAAAGTTTTAAAACCAAATAGGGTGGAGTCGTCAACCAACGTTGGTCTGGCCCAACATCGGCTAGGCCTATTGGACTTGGGAACACTTGTAATTCAAAGCTGGGCCTGGCCCAACATCAACTCTGAACGTTTCCTGATGTTCCAAACAAAAAGGCCCATGATAAATACTAGTTGCTAAGGTCGCTTTTGTTTGGGGCTATTATTTGGAAATCAATAAATACATTATTTTATATTTGATTAAGAAAATTAGAGTTTAGATAAATAATTCATTCACATGGTATTCCCATATTGGGGACTATTGAATGAAAGATTAAACCAAAGTTCAGACTAATTGGTTAAATTATAAAATTAATAAGATTTTGTCATAACTTCTCATAATTCTGACCAATCTAGACAGAGAATAAAAAATACATTCAAGGCTGTTTGATTAGACATATTATAACATATGATTGAAATTATTAATTCATAAAACTCACAGTTCAATGTTTGGTTGTAATTTTTGTTATTCAAATTAGATTTCAATGGACATTCTATTTAACAAAATTGACTAATTTTTTAATCCCACAACTGATAATGCAATAAAAACATATAATTAAGATTATATATTTCATGTCCATTGCAAAACAAAGGTGGACAGGAGAAAAGTATTTATCCAACTAATCTAATTGGATATCTAATCCTACATTAATTATATAAATTATTAATTTTTTTACTATTAATTCTACCAATCAAACAAGTCCTCACTGTTACTTTAGCACCAAACCAAAATTTGTTATATGCATTACGCATCTTAGGACAATTTCAATGTAGACAACCGTGTAAGAGAGTTATGTCTGATTCTGTGATTAATTTCTGTACAAATAGAAGAACTTCAATAAAAAAGCTCAATTGAAGAGATTGAACATCACTTGATAAAGCAAACGATCAAGTTCTAATTTGTTATAGATGAGACTATTCCAAATCACACGACTAGGGGATGGCAGAGGAGATTCAATCATTTATAAACTCGCAAAGTCATGCAAACTGCTCTATGCAAAGGACTACAGTACAATATATGTTGTCAACAACGGAAGTGACACTAATGTCCCCCCACACTTGCTTCAAATTTCTTTTTTTTTCACCAGAACACTCCCTTCTCTATTTGCCTCTCCCAGCTTGCACAAAACAGAAATCAACACACACAGAGAGAGAGAGAGAGAGAAGCAGCTGGAAATGATTCCCAGCTAAAAATGAATGACAACAGAGAACAAAGAGTCCTAATGTTATCTAGTCCTACAAAAAAAGTATGCAAATTCATCGATCTCAGTCAGTTAACTTCAAATGTAACTCTTATATAGAACCCTGATGATCAATCTTATTTCTCATATTCACTAAGTTGATTACAGGAAAAAGTCATCAAGGCTATCATCATATATGAGCGTTTTCTTGTAACAAGCATCTGTATTGCCTTGATAGCCTTTTATTTTTTCAGCCTCTTCTCTGGAAGCATCTAAATGGAGGCCAATGATCTGTTAATATACTCAACACGGCTGCCCAAAGCCGAGAAACAACCTTTATTATAATGGCAACCAAGAAAAAATAATTTCAACTAAATGAACGCTCTAAACTCATATTGAAAAGAAGGATAACTACCCCCCCCCAAAAAAAAAACAGTTCAAGGCTTGGGAAGCTTATTGCAGTTAGAAGGAGTCCATCCAATCATCTGTCTCTCGTTGTCATAAACCACCAATTTGTCTTGAAACGAAATATCTGTGAAATGCCAAAAAAATATATAAATTGAGGGTTATACTGAGTAAATAAAAAGGATAACTACCCCCCCCAAAAAAAAAAAACAGTTCAAGGCTTGGGAAGCTTATTGCAGTTAGAAGGAGTCCATCCAATCATCTGTCTCTCGTTGTCATAAACCACCAATTTGTCTTGAAACGAAATATCTGTGAAATGCCAAAAAAATATATAAATTGAGGGTTATACTGAGTAAATAAACTTTCATGTATCGGAAATTTGTTCTTTTTGTATTTTTCGTACCTCCAATTATATTTGAATTTCCCAATTTTGCATCCGCTCCATTCAATATACCCAAGCACACGTTGCCTTTAGACTGCACAGGAACAGCTTGTTTAGTATCATCTTTAGGCTGTGTTTTGGATCTAGGATTTAAAGAGAGATTTGGAGAGAGAAAGGAATGTGGCAAAAATATAGCTTGTATTTCATTCACGTTTCCCTTCATATTTCCATTCCCTCTCCAAAACCTTCCTCAAATCCTTGATCTAAGCACAGCCTTAAAGTACAATTTGTTCTATTTTGTTCCAAAATAATGAGTAAAACGGTCTCAAGAGGTGCTCACAGTGACAAGGAGATAAGCTTCAGGTGGGATTACAAAACCGACATTCTTGGCATTTTTAAAGCTCAATACCAAGGGACTGAAGTAGTTCTTGACAGCATCAATGGATTGAAACGGTTTTGCACCTTTCCAACAGACCGGGAGGTTTCCATCCTTTACTGCACTCAACTGCTTCCCCAATAATGCTGTCTTTATCTGAAGACACTATCACTGATTAGTTTCTCACAAAGAAGGAAAGCTGTATTTGTCGGGACTGTTTGGTGCAGTTTTTCTCAAGTTGAAATTGATATTCAGTAAGTAGAAGTTAAAAGCACCTCTTACACAACTTTCAAATAATCATTTTTTTTTCCCAACTTATTTAAACTATTTCTACCTTCTAAGCTATAAGCAGAAACTGCACTAAACGTTCTAGCACAGACTCCCAAACAAAAAAAACCTAGTAGCAGCCTTTATAAGCTGCAGCAAACAGCCCAGTTACCAAATACCAACTCACCAAGGAAAGTGTGGCTTGGTAAGCTTGGGGATTGAGGTAAGTGTAGGTACTCCCGCTGTCAAAAATTACAGAAAGACCCTTGGCACCGGAAGCCTTCTGACCAAAGAGGAGGTCCACTGGTCCTAACACATAGTGGTTCCTGAAATAAATCATTAGTAGGGCAATCTAAAGAAATACGCGCCAAGAGTAGTTTTATGAAAGTGCTAACTCACAAGGAATTGGGCAACATTGGTGCCCAGACAAGTCCAGAAGGCAAGAGATCATCTCCAAAGGAGAGATATCCTTTCCCTTGCCCACTGAAACAATGGCCAATCACATTCCTTACTAGGCCAAAACTGCGTAGCTGTGACACGACGTTCGATTTGCCTTTGGCAAGGCCGAGCACTCCGTCTACATAAGGAGGAGGAAATGGACCTGAAAACTCTTGATCGTATCCACATCTGCAGATAAGAAATGAGTGGATCAGATACATGACAAATAAATTAAGTCGAAGTAATGAATATTTTGTTATGAGGCTTTAAGCAATGCAAAATTTTGACAACTCATTTTAATAAACATAAGTCCCAAAGTGCTAATTAAACTGAACCGAAAAGCACAGAGTATAAAAGCTTTTAGCAGACATGTTTCACCCATTAAATATTTGTTGACAACAAATTTCAAATAAAGGTTTATTCAGGTCAGGGGAACAAACAAAAAACACATATTACATACCCAAAGGCCATAGAGGGTTTATAAGCAGAACCATTTGTGAGTTTTAGGGCAAAGGAGTCCCGAACCAGCACACCAAGAGATGAACCAGAGTCAGCATACTCAACCTCGTAGTCACATTGATCATTTGGTGCCTTGCATGTTGGTTGGTCAACAAAGGGACATAATGGGTCCTTGCAGAGCAATGCGTTATTGTTCGGCTTGTATGGCTTGTTAGGGGACTGCATTTAGAAGTATGTGTGTGCGCACGGAGAGAAACAGAGAGAGAAACGATGAGCAAAGGATGAAGAACAGTTATTTGGGTATTTATAGTAATAAAAAAACAAAAATTGTTACCTTAAGCAATTTGGCATTTGGTGCAGCTGCACATTGGACCCAAGTAAGATCACTGCCGGTGTCAATATCAAGATAGTAGGGCTTGGGTGGGTTCCCTATATATATGGTGGCATAAAAGAACCTGCATATTTGGATTGATGATAGAAAAGGGCATTACAATGAAAATTTCATGAATTTCAATCAATCAATGAAAAATGTACATAGAAAATCAATTGCGGGGAGATACAATTCTGGGAAATATCAACTGGATATTTCAAAGGAATCATATCAAGATTAATTAAATAACGAATTATCCACTAATCAATACAACTAATGATGAAATTACAAAATTGAGAATGTAAGTGCAACTTGATAATGAATTGGCGGGTACATAGATAATCATTCATGTTAGCATAAAGAAAAACAATCAGCTATTCTAGTTTAGTATAACAATGGTGTAAAAAAAAAAAACATATGGATCAATCAATTATAGTCTTACATGACTAAAGCATTGTTTACTCAATTCTAAAAGCTTCTTCATGTCCATAAACTTGGGAAAATCTAACTGAAATATGAATCTCCAATCCTATCTTGTCTAGTAGATAGATTTTTCGAGCAATCTATCTACTAGACAAGACTAGTGGCAACCCATTTCTAACTCTGGGAATCTTGCAACAACCTTCAAGTAATTATGCCAAAATCGTACCAAATCCAAAAGCTTGAATGCAAATATTTTTTTTAAGCAGCAAAATAATTTGTACATGGAATAAATGGGTCATAAAATTTTCTAAGAAATTGAGAAAACAATATATAGACAAAATGATGAGGAAAAAAAAGAAGCTATTCCAGACAAACTACACAATCCCAGAAATCCCAACAATTTAATTAATTACCAAACATGAAATCTACATAAAGATTATACAATGTTTATGTAATAAATACACACAAATTCAACTAAGCGTATTGAATGGAACTCAAAATGATTGAGCAACACATACCCATTTGGATAGACATCTCCTTGAACAGGAAAAAGCAAGGAGGATCCAAAACTATTGGGCGATTGGGTCTCCCTCGTCATGTTACTTTGAAGCTGTTTGGCAGCCGAGAAACAAACTTGAAACGTTGCAGTCAAGAACAGAGCACAGAAAATCACCCCCATTGATGGCGTTCCTTTCTTTCTCTCATCCATCTTGACTGATTAATTGTATGGGTGATCAGATTCAGAAACCCAGAAAGGCCTCAAAAAGTTTTGATCAGAAAATGCTCATACAGACACACAAATTCCAACGACTAGACCCAAGTCCACCAAATTTTTTGTCACTTGTTTGACAGCGTCTACGTTCCAAGAGATATATATATAGAGAGAGAGAGAGAGAGAGAGAGAAAGAGAGAGAGAGAGAGTTTGGACTTTGGAAGCTTCGCCGAGCGCGCAGCAAGAAGCGCGTAATATTGATTAGGACACAATATGTCGCACACTCGTTAATATTGATTAGAAAACTTTGTGCTGCAATTTATAATTAAAAAGAAAAATGAAGGGTGCGTTTGGTGTTTTGAAATATATTTTTGGAAGAAATTTTTAAAAACGTGTTTAGTTGTAAATTTTTTTCAAAAAAAAATATTTTTGGAAGAAATTTTTAAAAACGTGTTTAGTTGTAAATTTTTTTCAAAAAAAATTTAAAATTATTTTTTTTAGTACATATTAATTAATCATTTTTTTTCTTTCCTCTCTCATTCTTAATAATTTTTTCCTTTTATACATATTTACTCAACTATAACAAAATATTAAATCATCCCAAATTTCTAAATTCCAAAACTATTTTCAAAATATATAACCAAACAAATTAAAAAATTTCTAAATTCTCTCTCCCAATTTTTTTTTTGAAAATTTATCTCAAAACATAAACCAAACACACCCAAAGTTTTTGGAATTTATTTTTGAGGACTTATAAGTTTAAAAAATTGATTTTATGAATTGTTTAGAGTTTTTTTATTTTTATTTTATGAACTTAAAGGTCCTATTAAAGTAGGAATTACATTAAAGGGTAGTTACTTACATGTTTGGATTTAATTTTTTAGGAATAAAAGTGCGTTTCTTAAAATGTAAATTACACATTTAGGCAAATTTGTATTATAGAAGTTTTGGATTTTTCCACTAAAACAAATCTCACATTACAAACAAAAGCCTAACACTCTAATGTAACACTTAACACACTAAAAAATTCATTGGCATACTTTTCCCAAACGTAGCAACGTAACATTTAAAAAAAACTCTTTAGTGTACTTTTCCCAAACGTAACGCTCCAATGTAACTCAAAAAAAATAAAAATAAAAATAAAAATTCTTTAGTGTATTTTTCTCAAACGTAACACTCCAATAAGTATAATCTCAAACGTAATACTCTAAGACATACTCCAATATAACACACAAAAACACAAAAAAAAAAAATCTTAGTTTACTTTTTCCAAACATAACCCTCACAGTTTGAAATTATACATTTATCCAAAACTTACTAAGGAATATTTGTTCTCCTTTTGAAATGGTTTGAAAAATCTCACATTCTTTTTTATTTTTCAATGTTACATTGGAGTGTTACGTTTAGAAAAAGTACACTAAGCAATTGTTTTTGTTTTTGTTTTTGTGTTGCATTAGAGCGTTACATTTGAAAAAAAATATATCAAAAAGTTTTTTTTGTATGTTACATTAAAGTATTACACTAATGATTTTTTTTGGAATGTTACATTGAAGTGTTGTTACTTTTGGAATATGGGTTGACTTTTTGGTTATTTTAGATTGGGGCTAAAAAGTTTCGTTTGTGATAGGCTTTTTGACTTTTTTGATTTTTGTGAGAGAAAAAATGAAATGATTATGGTTTGAATGTGACAATTTGTTTTATTGGGCTAAAAAACTTATTTTTTCTTTTTGTAACTATTTTAGCCAAAAAGTCCCTGTTTAACTAATGTCAAACGAGGGCTAAGAAGTTTTTGTGTGTTACATTAGAATGTTACACTAAGGAGTTTCTGTGTGTTACATTAGAGTGTTACACTAATGAGTTTTTTTAAAATATTATATTAGAGTGTTACATTTAAGAAAAATACACTAAGAATTTTTTTTTGTGTTACATTAGAGTGTTATATTAAAGCGTTTTTGGTGTTACATTAGAGTGTTACGCTAAGGAGTTTTTTTGTGTGTTATATTAAAGTATTACGCTAAGGAGTTTTTTTAAGGGGATTTTTTTTAGGATCCCTAATATTAAGATTTTATAGTATAAAGGACATTTAATATTTTCATAATGTCTAAGGTCCCTCAAATTGATCTAGAGAAATTTCAAACTAGAGAAATTTCCATCCAAAGAAATTTCAAACCAAAGAAATTTGAAATTTCAAACTAGTCAAATATTAAGATTTTGTTCAATTTTTTTTATTTTTTATGTTTTGAAATTTCTCTAAGGTTGAATTTTGTTTATTTGGTCACAAATAACTCTGTGATTTGTTCACAATTTTCTCTGTATATTTGACTAATATTCTCCGATTTACTCATAATTTTCTCTATATTTAACCAAACCAGAGAAAATTGTATCTATTACTTTTATGTGTTAATTTTCTCTGTGTGATGGCCAGAGAAATTTGTTGATTTTCTCTAGCCAAATCACTCTCCCACTGTGATCAAATCACACATTCAATTTCAATCCACAATTTCAAGTAACCAAATTCATAATCTAAAAACTCATAATCTAAAAACTCAAAATGAATTCAAACTTTATCAAAATTTCTAACATCAACTGTCTTCAAACAAGGCACCTTAAACGCCATCAACAAATCTCTCTCTATCAATGCCAACTTCACCAACGCCTCTACTGCAGTCAACCCAGAGAAATTTCTCTGACTTCACAAATTTCTCTTGCTCTATTCACAAAGAATTTCTCTGGCTTTGTGTAATATGTAAGCTAACAATACAATATTTACTAACAAAACCACAAATTTCTCTGGTCAAAAACTAGAGAAATTCTCTCCAAACTAGACAGATCAGAGAAATTCTCTCTATTTACAACAGAGTTACATTTTTATGAACAAACCTTGGTGATTGTACATTGATCCAGGAAATTTGTACATTGATCTAGCACCGGTGAACAAACAACAATGATGATGAACATCAATGATGATCCAGGAAATTTCGGTTGAAAGTTCCTGTAACAAACAACAATGATGAACAACAAATTCAAAACCCAGATTTCTTCAACAAACCCAGATTTCTTTAATTTAAATATTCAAAAAAAGATTTCCTTTTATAAAAAAAAAAAAAAAACAGATTCGAAACAAACCCAAATTTAAAACAAATCTAGATTCGTAACTGATTTCAACAAACACATATTTCGTCATTTAAAAAAAAAAAACCTTGGATTTAAAACCCAGAATCGAATCCCAACTCTTTAACAATAAATTCTTTCAAGAAATAATTATTCAAACCAAAAATAAAAGCCATGGAATAATAATAAAGAACCATGAGAATACATATTCTGTACGAGATACCCAAAGCTGTGTTGTACAAACTTGGTGATTGTACGTTGATCTAGCACCGGTGAGCACTGGTATGGTTTGAGGTCGACGCGGATGACCGCGACCGAGCTGAAATTGGCGAAGCAATGCAAACTAAGAGGCGCACGTGAGCTAAACCGCAGCACAGCAGCTGCTGGAGTAGGTCAACGACGCAATGTACTGACGGTCATGAGCGAATTGATGAGGTTGGAAGGATGCGCTGCTGAGTTGTCACGATGTTGACGAGTAGGTCGACGAAGACAGTGCTGATTGGCGAGCTGGTATGGTGTCGGTGTGAGCCAACAGCAACTTGGGTCGCGGTGTCGGTGTGTTCGAAGTTACTGCGATGGGCGGTGTGCAAACAATGGTGATCCTCGACAACGGTGGGAGATAGACGAAGCACTGGTTTGATGTAGGGGAGAGAGAGAGAGAGAGAGACCAAACTCAGTTTTTGAAGTCCTTTCGTTTCTTTTTAAATTTCTCTGTGATATATGAGTTTGGGGTTGAAGGACCTTAGACATCATAAAATAACATTGTGGATCTCTTCCATTATTAAAAGTGGGAGAGAGACCTTAGACTAATTTTTCTTTTTTTTAAAGTGTTATATTTGAATGTTACGTTTGAGAGAAGTACAGTAAGAAGTTTTTTTATATGTTACATTAGGGTATTGCACTATGATTTTTTTTTGAGTGTTATATTGGAATGTTACGTTTGAGTGTTACATTGGAGTATTATAGTTTGAAATTATACATTTTGTCAAAACTTACCAGGTAGTTTTTATACTCCTTTTGAAATATTTTAAAAATCTCACATCCTTTTAAAATGTTTGAAAAATCTCATATTTTAAGTCATTTTTATATTCATTTTGAAATGTTTTCCATATAAAAAAGATTTTTATATAAAAATTCATCCCAAATTTGATTCTCATGTTGTTGTGTACCTTACCTTTCTAGCGTGCACACACACACACACAAAAAAAAAAAAAGAAAAAAAAGAAAAAAAGAGAAGGAACATAATAGAAATAAGAGTATAACCGTAAATCTAATTTTTAAATAATATATTAAATCTACTTTTTCAAAATTAATGGAACTAATTGGTTTATAAGAAAATCTTTAGGACTAAATGGATCACCATTCCTCAAGATGGGATTTATAGATAAATTTTCCTTTATTTTTAGAAAATTTTATTATTTTATTATTTGTATTTTTATTGATTTTTTTTAATATTTTAATTATTTTTTGTTAATTTTTAGATATACCTAACATAAATATATACTTAAAAAGTATAATATTTGTGAAAAAAATCTTTGAAAAATTCACTAAATACCAAAAATATAAAAAAATATAAAAATTCAGTACATTTTTCATATTTTTATGTATTTATAGTTTAGATACGGAAAAATGTGTTTGGTTTTAATTTACTATTTTACTATTTTTTTTAAATACCAAAAATATAAAAAACTACAAAAATTTAGTACATTTTTCACAAATAAGAATAGTTTAGATGTAGACTACCAAACAAGATTTGGATTGCGAAAATATATTTGGCAATGGTGACAGCAGCTTGGGAAAGGTAGATCATCACCTTCGGTGACCCTTTGTGGTCGTGATCGCAATCTTATGAGAGAGATCACTATCACCGTTGTCCCTTTGTAATCACAATTTTGCGTGTGTATATATGTGTGCACGAGAGAGAGAGAGAGAGAGAGCAGTTGGTGAGGATGATGATGGTGGTTATGGTGATGTGTAGAGATGATGAGGGTTGTAGACCAGAGCTGGTGATAGCAAAGAGAGGCTGCTGATCAAAATGGAAATGTGGATCAGTTAGGG